ATTTATTTCAATAATTCGCCTGCGTGTAGGGGCCTTTAGCAGTGGGAGGAAACCAGAGGACAACCTTACTCCTTGTCACATACAACTGGGGAATCGAAACCTTGCTAGTTGATTCAATGACAGACCTTATGATACAACGCGCACGCCCTAACGTTGAGTGGACGTTAAACCCATATTTCTCTCTCTATCTTTAAAGCGTAAAATACTAGACATTGGTCATTAATATATCATGCGTGTAGAAGTGACTTCACCCTAATTCTAGATGACCTCTGATTAAAATACAAATCTATATTTCGTTTTGTTTTTTTATACTTTCGATGGCCTGCACTACATGAAGATCTGACTGGTTGTAGTGGAAGTTTGTGTCAGGGGTCATACAAGCGGCTTTTGACACTATGACGTCAGACAGTTGATTAACCAATCAGTGTTGATGTTTCTAGTAGGATACCCACCACACACCAAGAACTCACCTTAACAGATCGTTTCATTGGCTAATCCCTGACAACAACCAGAACGTAAGTTATATAACAACTCTTCCAGATCCTAGAGCAGTAATGACAAATATAACGGAAATTTTCAACTATAAAAAACGGAACCGAATAGGATCTATGCTTTAATCAGAATGCTTATAAGGTACCATTCAATCGAAATATTGAGCAATGTAGTTATTGCCTTGGGAATTTGATTCTATATCGTGACATCAGCTTCATGCTGTTTGTTTTGACTCAAGCACTTATTCTAATTCCACTGATAATTCCCTGCCAATAGGTTTGAGAAGCATGTACTAATCTTTACAATTATCTGTTGATGCTATCCTCTATTGAACCTATCCTATGTCTAGTGTTATAATAGATGTGGTGTTTAACTGTACTTTATATCCGAGACAACCACGAACAACTTCTTACTAAAATAGTAATAGTAGTGGGTAGAAAAATCCCTGGAACTGTGCAAATCGACGTGGATCTCGGTGATATGGTGGGAGCAGAGAAGAAAAATATGAAATCCTCTAGAAAAGATTAAGAAAAGTAATCGCCCCAGCAACACACAAACAAGATTGTAAGGAATATAGAGATTAAATCCATGGCACGTTTCAGGCAGAGTAGCTGTTTATCAAGGGTTACTCCACCCAAAACGTGTCCTGGAATAAATCTGTGTGTTGCTGAGGGATTACATTTCCTAATCTTTAACTGTACATCTGTTGCTCTACCATTAGGAGGCAGACTTCAATGTTAATTCTGGTCTCCTTGCCCTGCTCCAACTTTTCCAAAAAATTTTGTTGGGCTGAATGCTTTTCACTACAGGCAGAAACAAATGGTCATGTCTTTGCACCCAAATTTCTATGATGTTGACCACCTAAATTTTGAGATAAACAAACTTGAAGTCGCATAGTAAAATCATGTAAGTATTCGCTGTACATATCAACGTAACCAACCTGTTATCCTTACACCTCTAAATCATGATTATTTACAAAAACATGGCAGAAAATGTTAATTATTCAAACCTCTTCGTCTCATTCTTTTCCAAAAGAGGGAGAGAGAATTGATATAAATAGACAAACTACAATTTGTGGGTACTGAATTTAAATGGTGATCTACCTTGAAGGATTGAGGCAGTCCCTATGGCTCAGTGATTAAGACACTGGCTCGTTAACCTGGAGGTCTCGGTTCCGACGTGGTTCCCCCTTGTCAGTGATGCAGGACGGAGGGCCTGACAAGGACAGCTGTCTAGTCCTTCGGATGAGACGAAAAACCGAGGTCCCGTGTATACATTGGAATGCACGTAAAAGATCCCTTGGCAGTTGGAATTCGATATAAGAGTAGGCGATAGTGCCGCTGCCCGGGCAAAATTTCCCTCATAGCACACTGTATGGCGTATGCCTGTCTTCATTAGCCCAGCATAGGAGCAGAACAGTAGGATTTAACCCCAATTCATTTCATTTCATTTATTGGAGGTCTCGGATTCACTCTGGTGTTAGTAGAGAAAATTTCTCAAAGATTTTCCTGTGTGGTTTCCCCTGGATAGGGTGCAGAACAGAGGGCCTGGCAAAGAACAGCATCTGGTTATTTGGATGTGTCGAGGAACAATGGCATGCACATAATAAAAGAAGGGTGTAGTGCCACTGTCTGGCCAAATTTCCCTCATTGTGTGGCGCACATGCCCATCTTTATTAGCCCAGTTGGTGTAAAAATTTTGGATGCTAAAGCTCATTTCATTGAAGGAGTAAAATGGAGTATGGTTACTATGCGACATGGATGTATTTGCCCACAAAACAGCCGCATTTCCTCCTCCTCCAAATTCAAACTGCCAAGTGTTCCTCTTTTTTTAAACCCATCCAAACAACTAGGCAGTTACCACTCCTGAAATCTGAAATATCATAAAGTTTTCCTCGGTCCATGTCAGCTATATTACCTTGGCCCCGGTTGAAGGGACGAGTTCATATCCTAAGTCTACCATAGCTCATTTTCTTTCAAACAACTAGGGAGCTAACACTACTGAAATCTGAAATATCATAAAGTTCTCCTCAGCCCATGTCAACTATATTACCGTGGTCCCTGTTGAAGGCATGAGTTCATATTCTAAGTCTGCCATAGCTTATTTTCTGTCAAACAACTAGGCAGCTACCAACTATTGAAATGTGAAATATCTTAATGTTTTCCTTGGTCCATGTCAGCTATATTACCGTGGCCCCTATTGAAGGGATGAGTTCACATCCTAAGTCGTACCATAGCTCATTTTCTGTCAATTACTGTTAGTTGTCTCTTCACAGTAATTAAAACTTTGTCTAGACAATGTCATGAAATCTATCAAATTCTCAATATGAAATCAATTTCTTTAATGACTTGTAAGTTTAAAACAATAACATACCAATCATGTCTACATCAATCAGCTTCCCAAAAGATTGCAGAACTATTTTTTTTAGAGAGAGAGAGAGAGAGAGAGAGAGAGTAGAGAGAGAGAGTAGAGAGAGGGAGAGAGAGAGAGAGAGAGACAGAGAGAGAGAGGGAGAGAGAGAGAGAGGGAGAAAAGAGGGAGAGAGAGAAAGGGAGGCCAGAGAGAGAGACAGAGAGAGAGAGAGACAGAGAGAGAGAGGTCTACTGATCAACACAAAATAAGTCATTTCAATAAAGTGGCGGGAAATTGGGGGACCGGGAAAAAACCCACAATGTTGGGCAGACAACCCTGGTGATCGAAAACACACAACTTCAGTACTTGACTCAATGACCGACTTTATGATCTACAGCGAACTCATTAGACCACTGGAAACCCCAGGAGTTAACACTTATACCCAGTTATAGTCAATGTGTGTTCGGAATGGTTTAAATAATAAATGAGGATATCATTAAATGTTAGTTATGTTATATCATACAGTATTCTGTATAGAACACGTGTGTTTGACAAGTAACGTAGAATTCACCATCATCCACTCAACAGCTCATCAATTATAAACAACAAAAAAATAATTTTATTCTAAGCCTACAAATCATAATGTGAGATTTAGAGAAAGAGAGAGAGAGAGAGAGAGAGAAAGAGAGAGAGAGAGAAATGGGATTTAAGTACACTCGACAAAAACTAGGTCATTTCGGGACTAACATTTGGTTTAATTTTATTTACATAATTCGCTTGCACATACGGGTCTTTAGCAGTGGGAGGAAACCGGAGGACCCGGAGAAAACCCACGAGGTTGTACTCCTTGCCACGTACAACCATTTTAGAGAAAGAGCTGGCCGGTCTTGCAATGTGATTAAAATACAGATCTATATTTCGTTTTGTTTGTTATACTTAGGATGGCCTACACTACGTGAAGATCTGACAAGCTGTACTCAAAGGTTGTGTCAGGGGTCGTACGAGCGACTTTTGACCCTATGATGTCAGGCATTAATTAATCAATCAGCATTGACGTTTCTAGTGGTTTACCCACAGTTCCGTGCATGGTACGACAAGAAGTCGCCGCAACAGACAATTTCATTGGCTAATCCCTCCCATCAACCAGGAAGTAGTTATATAACACCTCTTCCAGATCCTGGTGTAGTAAATACAAGTTTAAAAATGAAATTTTGAACTATAAAAAATAAAACGAAATAGGATCTGTGTTTTAATCAGATTAGCTGTCCTTGCTATAAGAAAATGGAAAAGATGAATATATTGAAAATTTCAAATTACTTATTTTGAGCAAAATTATGAAGTTTTGACAGGAAATAGACATTAATTGCTGATCGTTTGCAGATGGAAACTCAGATGAAACTCAGATGAAACTCAGATGGGTACTCAGATGAAACTCAGATGGAAACTCAGATGGGTACTCAGATGAAACTCAGATGGAAACTCAGATGAAACTCAGATGGGTACTCAGATGAAACTCAGATGGAAACTCAGATGAAACTCAGATGGAAACTCAGATGAAACTCAGATGAAACTCAGATGAAAGCTCAACCCACAGTTCATGTTCTCCATTGTCAAATATCAATATGTACCATGATAATAAACAAAGTCTTGACTGTCAGTACTTTATCGGCAGTCTCCATGAGTGTAGTCATGCATTACGTAACATTTCTGCTTGTTCGGCAATATGGACATTGTCTAATCCACCCAATATCTAAGCCATCTACTGATCTAGCCTGTCGATTATGGGCTTGTCATGTAAATAAATGTCAAAATAATATAACATTTGAAGCCAGAAAAAAGACCTGCAATAAACAAGTTCAACTCATGCATAGTGTCTCTTTAAAGACAAATGGCTCACATATATTTCCCTAAGTCAAAAATGTATACTTTTCGAATATTTTACTGGGCACATAAACTGTCATAAATAATTGGTTGGTTTGCATGCAAAAGATGGAATTATTAATTTTATACTTGTCTCTGAGAGATAAAGATGATGTAGTGTGTTAAGTCAAAGAACTATACTCTCATTAACTATTAAAAACGACTTGGTGTTTAAGAACGGCTGGTTGTTTCAGATTAGCGACTAAATTACAGTATAGAATATAAAATAAACTTACAAACTTTTGGCAGCTCTGGCTTCTTATAAGGTATATCTGAAAAATAGATAAAACATATTTTTATAAATTATATTTATTATAATTAATATCTGAATATAAAATGCATCATTTTGATTTATTCAAACTGTAATTGATCTATGTTACCTGTTCTTACTGATCTGAAATTTCTCACAAGAAAATGTGGGTACATAAAATTAAATTACGAAAACATATTTTCATCTCGCCACGAAAATATATATGGTTAGGTGTGTGGGAGAAGTAGTTTTGGACAGTTTTGAAAATGAAATACAAAAATCTCTTATTTTTTTTTTTAATGTAAAATGGACCAAAAGAGTTTTAGAGAGAGAGAGAGAGAGAGAGAGAGAGAGAGAGAGAGAGACTAGGTCATACTATGTCATTTTGTGATTTTGGGACTAACATATGATTCAATTTTATTTCAATATTTTGCTTGCACATAGGGGTCTTTAGCATCAGGAGGAAACCAGAGGTTTCGGAGAAAACCCATTATTTTGGACAGGCGACCCTACTCCTTGTCACGTACAACCGGGGTTTGAAAAGTATATACTGATGTAATAATGAATGTATATACACGGATTTGCATTAAAATTTTTCAATCTTTATTGTAATTTCTAACCAGAAATGTTCAGCCAAATATGTGAGCAGTCCAATTTGAATGACAGTTGTTCATCAAGGCGTCTCATTAAAAGTGACGATCGAGAGCCGAGAGAAAACTATGTCGCAGACTGACTTTAAAATGTATTAAATATTGTATATCAGTAACTGTTATTTCTACAGTAAGATAAAAATATAAATATCTATTGAAATATAAATTCTAATTAACATTTTTAATGTCAAAGATTATGAATAATATTAAGTTGGAGATTTAGCTACTTTATAAGGAGAGAGGGGTTTTACATAGGCTAAGTCTGTTCCCCAATCCCAATCAGACATCCTGAATAAAAATATTGTTTAAAAAAAAAAATAGAGAGAGGGAGAAATGGGCTTTAATGTTCCTGGACACAAATTAGATTAGTTTGGGATTAAGCTACATGAAAGGAGAGAGAGAGAGAAATGGGGTTTAACGTCCACTCGACACAAACTAGGTCATTTCAGGACTAACATATGGTTTTTAATTTTATTTACATAATTCGATTGCGCGTAGGGGTCTTTAGCAGTGGGAGGAAACCGGAAGACCAGGAGAATACCCACGAGGTTGGACAGGCGACCCTACTCCTTATCACGTACAACCGGAGATTCTAAAATCTATATACAAATGTACCAGGTGTTAAAATGAAGTGTTTAAAAAATGACCCACTGTAGTGCTCCAACTGGGCTAATGGAGACTGGCATAGGACATACAGTGTGCTATGAGGGAAATTTTGCCCGAACAGAGGCGCTACAGCTTAAACTGATATCATGGGATCTCATTTTTTCTTCTCATCTGAATGACTATACATTGTCTCTTGCCAGGCCATTGGTCCGGCACCACTGGCAAGGAGGAACCACGATGGACAATCAAAATGAACTTTCTGGACCAACGCAGGGACCAAACACATGACCTCCAGGTTTGTGAGCCAATGTTTCATTCACTGAACCACAGTGGCTCCATACCAGGTGTTAAAAGAGTTAAAGACCTATTGAATACTATGCACACCAGTTCAATAATTCTGGTAGAAGACTGGAACCGTTGATTGAAACTAGCATGCAACTTTACAATTATCTAAAGCGCTGATCTGACCGTAAAGACACTTTAAATCAACATCAATTATTCCCATATCTCATCCCACCAATACATCAATCAACCTTCAACTTCTCACAGAAATGTAATGAAAAGGGGTTCAACATCCTACTTTTCTGCTCTGAACTGGGTTAATAAAGATGGGTATACGCCATACAGTGTGCTATGAGGGAAACTTTGCCCGGGCAGCGGCATTATAGCCTACTCTATATCCAATTCCAACTTCAAGGGATCTTTTACATGAATGCCAATGTGTACACAGGACCTCAGTTTTTCATCTCATCCGAAGGACTAGACAGCTGTTCTTGTCAGGCAAAAGTTGAAGTCTGTCAGTCGATGCACAATTGTCCAAAGAACAAGCATGCAAAGTTTCAGGTTGATCGTATTTGAATTGGCAGAGCGTTAGTTTGATCATATTTGAATTGGCAGAGTGTTAGGTTTTTTTCGAAGAGCGTCTCTCCTAACAAGAACAAGAACAAGAACAAGTTGAGTAACACTTGGGACCCAGATCCTGGTCTAAAAGAATAACAAAACCCAATGTGTTGTCACTGAAATGAATTACTGAAATATATTTGAAACATGTTAGTCTCAAAATGAGACTATCTCCCTCTTTCCCCTCCCTCCTTTCTCTTTCTCCTATAATTTACTCTCTTTTCTCTCTCTTCTCTATTTTTTCTCTCTCTCTCTTCCTCTTCTCTCTCTCCCACCCTTGCTTTCGCTTTCTCTCCCTCTCTGGTATCTCTCCTTTCTTTCTCTCTTCTCTCCTTCTCTCCCTTCTCTCCCCACTCTTTTTCTCTACTGATATCTCGATCTCCTTTCTCTCCTCTTCTCTCCCCTCTCTCCCTACTCTTTTTCTCTACTGATATCTCGATCTCCTTTCTCTCCCCCTACTCTTTTTCTCTACTGATATCTCAATCTCCTTTCTCTCCTCTTCTCTCCTCTTCTCTCCCTACTCTTTTTCTCTACTGATATCTCGATCTCCTTTCTCTCCCCTCTCTCCCTACTCTTTTTCTCTACTGATATCTCGATCTCCTTTCTCTCCCCTCTCTCCCTACTCTTTTTCTCTACTGATATCTCGATCTCCTTTCTCTCCTCTTCTCTCCCCTCTTTCTCCTTCTCTCCCCACTCTTTTTCTCTACTGATATCTCGATCTCCTTTCTCTCCTCTTCTCTCTCCCTACTCTTTTTCTCTACTGATATCTCGATCTCCTTTCTCTCCCCTCTCTCCCCACTCTTTTTCTCTACTGATATCTCGATCTCCTTTCTCTCCTCTTCTCTCCCCTCTTTCTCCTTCTCTCCCTCTCTCCTTCTCCCCCTCTCTCCTTCTCTCCCCACTCCCCACTCTCTTTCTCTACTGGTATCTCTCTTCCCTCCCTCTCTCTCCCCTCTTTCTCCTTCTCTCCCCACTCCCTTTCTCTACTGGTATCTCTCTTCCCTCCCTTCCCCTTCTCTCCCTTTACATCTGGGAATAAACTCATAGTGTAGATGTTGTCTATTATTGATGTGAGCAAAATAATTTCTTAACAGCTTCTTAATTCAAAGTAATGGATACAATTCAGAGTTTAAAAGTTGATGCAAGCCAATGCCAGTCTATTGATTATTCAAACTTTATCTTACATGCAAATGAAATGTAGCCCTAGGGATGAAAAAATGAAGATTTACAGGGGAGCCTTCTTTTAAAATATTCAGAATTTAAAAAAACAATTTAGTACTCTAACATGACAATATCCATGTGGCCAATAAAATACAGAGAAGTAACAGAATATCTGCCCAATGGCAGCCATTTATATGCAATGTAAAAAAAAAAAAGAAAAAAAAAAGGACACTTTCCCGCCTTGTGAAAGTTTTTTTAGATTATTAAATGAAGTCATTTAACTACAAAATGAAGAATCATGGCCGCCTCCTCTATAAATTGAAACAGAGATAAATGATTCCTGACTTATTAGTTTAAGAATCCCACATATCAAATAAATTCTTCCCTCACGGAGCAAGTTGTGTTTCATGTTCTCTATCAATATGTATAATATAACAATTATTCTTCTATAACCCCGGGCGCATGCTGCATATTTGGTTGCAGTGGTGACTGACGGCAGGGATGGGTCCTCCTCCTCTGAAGTTGGGGGAAACAGAAGAGAGAGCGAGAAATGGGGTTTAAGGTACGCTCAACACAAACTAGGTCATTTCAGGACTATCACATGGTTTAATTTTTTTATTACAAGAATTCGCTTGCGCGTAGGGGTCTTTAGCAGTGGGAAGAAACCGGAGGACCCGGATAAAACCCACGAGGTTGGACAGGGAAATGTTTTGAAGAAGATCGTAGACATTTTCCTGGAATATATGTGAAGATGAGATTTTTGATGTAGGATGGAGCTCTAACTCAGAATCAAATAAATCGACACAAGTTTGCTGTTTTTTGGGGGGATTTTTTTAACAGTCTTGGCATATGGTGCAACCTTTTCCTTAATAAACACATAAATATTATCGAACATTTCATATTACAGCAATGTAAAGCTATATAGAAAAACAGAAAGTTACCAAATTGATTGCGATGAGAAACATTGATTCTTGCAAGTTACCAGAGCAAATAACTTTGATGGAGGTTTTCCAGAAATAATTTCATGTGTTTCTGATGAAAATCTACATTATGTTAAAGGAGAAACATAGAGAGATGGACAGAGTTTAACGTCCACTCGTTACAAACTAGGTCATTACGGGACTAATATATGGTTCAATTTCATTCCACTAATTCTCTTGCTCATAGGGGTCTTTAGCAGACCGAGGAAACCAGAGGACCCAGAGAAAATTAAAGAGGTTGGACAGGTGACCAATTAATTCAAAGTCGAGAGATTATCTATCAAAAAATGACACAACACAATTTATATGGAGAGAGAGAGAAATGGGGTTTAACGTCCACTCGACAAAAACTAGGTCATTTCGGGACTAACATATGGTTTAATTTTATTTCAATAGTTCGCTTGCGCGTAGGGGTCTTTAGCTGTGGGAGGAAACCGGAGGACCCGGAGAAAACCCACGAGGTTGGAATTATGAAGACATGTAATGCCATATACAGTGTGCTATGAGGGAAATTTTGACCAAAAATAGGCACTATAGCCTACTCTTATACTAGTGGGGCGGTTAAGCAAAAAATTGTGCACTTTGGGTTAAAAGCATGAAACTTGGCACATAGATGGCATCAACCCTACTGATTATTTTGGGATGTGGATCCACCTCAGCAGCTCCCCCTGGTGGTCGTTACGGCCATCTTTTCCAAAATGGCCGCCTATCCATGGAAATACATA